ATGTTGTTAGTTAGTGTCAAGTTGGTTCTGACTCACAGTGACCCTGTACAGGGCTTCTGAGGAGGGCTGGTAGGTTTGAACCGCCAACCCTGTGGTTAGTAGTCCATTGTTTATCCTACAGCAGTACAAGTCACTATAGTTCTTCACGAGGAATTTATACTACAAAATTTTAACAATTACTACTACTATTTTATCGTGTTCAAATTATATTACAATTTTCTGCCACAAGTAGCAATGATCAATAGAAATTACCACAGATCAAGAACAGATAAAAGAAATGACCTTTCTCCTGGAGTCCTAGCTTATGAAATGTCTGATAAATATTTACAAATCATGGTATGGCAGAACATATTTACAGCTGATTCTTCTTCCAAATTTCTGATTATAGAAAAACTGGCAAGAGTTTCACCTCTTCCTCCTTAATAAATTGATTTTTTTTTAAGTCCAAATATGAACATACAAAACAAATATTAGATAATAACTTTCTATTATTTTAGGAAGATATGTGAGATATCTAATTTTGAATCAACCTGATTATTAAACTGCTTGTCTACAGAAAACCTTGATAATACATTCTTGTTTGACATAATTTTCAAGCACTCTCTGTAATATACAAACTTCAAAGAACAAAGAAGACATATCAATGTTTGCATTAATTTTAAGGATTTCAGAGTAAGAAAAAAATTGTTGTTAAAACATTAAAGTGTTAATTACCCTTCCCAAGCACAGAACTGATGACACTTCTGCTGTACCTCTCCTAACTTTGGTTGAGTTGTCACTTGAGTTACACCTTTAACAGTTAAACCTTCCAAGAAAATAGCACCCTTAAAATAAAAGGAAAAGAAAAATATTTCATTAAGAAGTTCACATTTATTTGCCATGATAATACTAAGAGACAAATTGGCTTATTTTCACAATTTTCTTTCAAGGCATTGTTTCATAAATTGACTTGTTCAAATTTATTTTCACAAATCTGAACTAGAAATTTATAGGACAAAAATGGTTTAGCTTTGTGGTTAATGTACAGATGAAAGGGCTTCAAAAAAGTTCATAGAAAAATTCTATCATTTCTTAATTCCACTTGCCCACAAACTTTTTGAAGCTCCTCCATATGTAGCCAAGTATGTACGCATCATCAAAGATGTCTACGGACACTACTTAGTAATCACAAAAGCATTAACAAGGTCTCCACCATCTACTTAGATCCAGGTAGAGTATCTCACATTTTACATACATTCTCTCTAATCTGTAAATCTGAAAAGTAGATTGTACTGTATCCATTAAGAGGCATACATGATCTTGTATAATTTATTCAAATGATAGAAATGAAATCTGAACCCAGGATTATATTATAACCATTCACTAATACTTCTCACCTGAGGAGGAAGAGAGGTGTTAAATCATGGGTGGGGCATAGAACTTAGGATAAAAACACAAAATCTCTAACTCTGAGTAAGAGTATAAAAATTTTTAAACTAGAATAAGAGTATATAATAGGAAAAATGGCTAATTCACAGTGAATTGGATGCACCAATATGAAAACTAAACTATATATTAGTTATCATTGAATTTTTAAGCTAAATACTTTAACTTAGAACCTACATAAAGTGTCTTAATGTATCTCATAGCAAGCATATTTTTAAAATATCACAGAAAAGTGAAACAGATGGAAAATTTAGACATCAAACAAATCCTGAAATTTTTTTAATTAAAAAATAGTCTAAATGCTACAATCACTTTCAGACACATAAGAGGGCTGGCATCAAGCAAAATCTATACAACTCTATTAATGTTAACTATGGAATAAAAGTATGGTTTACAAGCTGTAAAGATCAAACCTTCTGGCAAAAACCAGGCAACTTGAGCCCCGAGTCCTTCCATCAGATAGTGGTCCTACCTTTTGACCCAATTCTCCATCACTTTTTAATTACCTAATTTGCCTCCAAGTCCCTGGATGGCACAAACGATTTACACTCAGCTGCTAATCTAAAGGCTGTCAATTGGAACCCATCCAGTGGTACTGCAGAAAAAAAAGCCTGGAAATCTGTTTCCATTAAAAATATAACCAAAAACCCCTATGGAGCAGAACTTCTCCATAATACATGGAGTTGCCGTAAGTTGGAATTGACTTTATGGCTACTGTAACAATCTGTCACCTACTTTCTTTTACTTAAATAAGCCTCCTTTAGGGACATCAAGAGCCAAAGTATCAAAGAGCAACATCCCTCTCCTATATCATCACCTTTCTTTATCAGAGGAGCTCTGGTGACACTGTGTTTACTGTTAACCACAAAGTCAGTAGTTAGAACCAGCCAGACACTCTATGAAAGAAGGACTTGGCATTCCACTTCTGTAAAGATTTATACTGTCATATTAAAAAGATTTACGCTCATTAATAGTGTAACAATGGAAATACAGTGGGTTACAATAAAGGAAGCACCCTCATTTTCTTTGAAGGTTTTGTAGACACACACTTAAAAACAGTCTAAAATAGGTTTGTTACATATGAACTATCTAGTGTGAAAGAATATATATCTGTATATCCAAAGAACCTAGAATAATTATATTTTGCTGGCAATAGATAAATTCTTAATTGTTTGCAGATTCCTTGTTACATCTCTAATTATGCACTATTTATGTCATCAATAAAACAACTTAAAGGAAAAAGAAAATAAAAACATTTACAGTATTGGAAACCCTAGGGTTCTTCCCTACAGTGTGGCTATAAGTCAGAATGAACACAATGGCAATGCATTTTATGTGCTTCTCCTTACCAGACAATGAAATTTCTACTTCTGGACCCTTTTTTTTGTTTTTTTAAATAAATGTTTTATTGTGAATTGTGTGATAGTTTACATGGGAGAACATTGGTTTTACATTCATTCTATCATACATCATTTCATTGCCATAGTTACCATCCCATCCATGCATCATCACCCAACCAAAAGGCATACCCTGAAATTCCCCCCCACCCCCCCAACGG